GTCTAAGATTCTGCATTTCTTTCCAGCTCCCATGTCACACTGCCAGACTGAAGCCAGGGTTTCTGGGCTTGTGTGGCTTAGGGAGCCGTCATAGTAACAGCATTTTGTGATTTCTATGTATGTGTAAAGTTTGGGAAAGACTGCTTTAGAGGTTGGTGGGTGTTGAACATTGTTTTCTCTGCAACCTGACTCTCCATTAGTCAGTGCACAAAGCTTTGATTTATTTCTCAGAAGACAGACTTGCTTACCTAACCTAGGTGCACTACAATTTATTAATTTATAATGGAAAAATACAAGAGTACAGAGTCATATCAGTGCATCAGGGCCAGCAAATTTCTTTGTAGTATGGAAAATCACAGATGACCAGCCTATCGGAAGATGGCTTAATGAGTGACATGCCCAGTAGGAGTTCAAGTATCTCTCACATTCTGATAGGGTGTCTAGTTTGGTATAATGCATCCCTATTGGGCACCTTGTCATAGACCAATTAATGGAGTATGAACAACTGCCTGTGTGTCAGCCTCCTTTCTCTAGTCCAATCAGTTGTTGTCAAGAAGGTGAGGTCACCTATTCTAGAGCACACTGGTGGAAGCTCCAAAGGCTGGCGTGAGTAGCTAAGCACCATAGGCCTCTCTTTAGTATAAAACCCCAATAGGAAAATAAATACTATTATTAAATAGCTTGTGATGAAGTCAAGCTTCTAGCAAAATAACGCCAAAAGCAAGTGAAAGAGTGCTTACTCGTAGCATTTAAAAAATTAACTTTTAATTTATCATGACATAGATAAAGAAAAGAAAAAATAAACTTCAAATATTTCTGTATTTGCATGTCCTAATGCATCTTTACTTTATAAATGAAAAGAACAGTAAGAGGGCTCTGTTTGATATAGAAGCCAGTGTTCTTCAACTAGCTTGGAGTGTCTGCAATTAAGCATTTCCAAAGTAAGCAGAGCTGTTCTTTTCCTTTTTGTGATGGGGAAATCACTATGAGTTTTCCCATATTTGGGGTCATAGTGATGTGGTCCAAGGGAAGCATCTAAGCCACAGGGACATATTTTTATTTAGAAGAATTGAGGCAGGGCTACTTTAAGAGCATTAGCAGGTATCAAGTTTAAGGATGTAAACAGTAACTTAAATGACTGATCTGTAGAATTTACTTCTGTACATATATTTACTGTATGCCAGAACCAATTTACATTTACTTTTATCCTATTCTTATATCAAAATGAACACAACCATGGATTGTAATGTTTGATCACTGTCTTGCCAATGGTTTTCAGTCCCAGGCAAGTTCACTATGGATTCAGTGAGACTGAGTAATGACAATGGAACATTCTTGGGGTGAAAGTGTTTATACCCAGCTTGTTCACCCAGCAATAGGTTGAGGCCTAGAGTTACATCTGCATCCAACAGTCTGCAGGTTTGTAATCCTCCTTCATCCCTGCTTCCCCCAGAGCACTCGGTAAAGCTGTTTATATAGTAACCCAGTTAATAATAGCTTGTTGCCTGTAGGTGTGGAAGCAGTAGCCTAGCAGCAAGGCCAGTTATATCATCAAGTAGTTTAGGTTCAGGTGAGGATCCTGGCCATAGGAACCTTCACTTTATCAACAATCACCATCTAATAAACATGTAAAAATCAAGTTATTGCTCTTGAACACACTAATAGGGCTTTTTGGGGGACATATTAAAGTATATCACAGGTCTCATTGTCTCATTAAATCATGCTATGGAAACAAACTGGTAGCCTTACCAGGTCACAAATACTGATAAAAACTTTCAACCTGGCTATACAGTATAATTACCATTCCTTTCCCCTACCCCTCACCTCCATTCTTGTTTAATTGGTCTGGCTAAAGCCTGGGAATTGTTAATATTTTTTTATCATGAAAATGTTCAAATGAGAGGGGAAAAAAACCTCAGTAAATTTTAAAGGAGAGTTAATTATTTTATGTTTTAATATGCAAAGGATCCTAGCAACGGTGATTCAGAAACAATTTAGAACCTAAGTGTGTCCTCAAAGTTCCATATTGGTGCATTTATGAATTTGCAAAGACATATCCCTAGCATTGCCAAGGAGCTAGGGTGGAGCACACATGCAGTAGCAATGAGACTTCCAGATACTGGACCTGGAAAAGGCAGCCTGAGGGAACACACACTAGGTAAGATCAATTGTGCCAAGCTATCACATTAGCCTCTTTCTTTGTAATTCTAGAAAGTTTCTTTCTAGAATTACTAGAGTACAAAGAATTAGTAAGTCTGATGATTATTAGAATATAAGGATTAATATGAGGGAAAATTTAAGTCTTTCAATTATTTCTTGACCAATTATTTAGATGATGCAAACCCATGGAAGGATTGGTTTATAGATAGTTCGTGGTACATTGAGGGTAATGTACTGTTGACCTTGTGGCAACTTGGGTTAGGAGAGACCATATAAGAATTTCAGTTCCATAATCAGGAAATGTTCAAAGTTTCAAGGCTTGATTTTGTATGATAACATTGCCAATAGGCTAGTATTCAAGAAATGGCAGGACTGGAATTGTCAGTTAAGGAAGTTCCTTCTCTTCTGTTTCCTGTATTATGACAAAATCCTTTGTTTTTTATTCAGTAGTAAGAACTCTTTCTGCAAGGCCTATAGAATATGAGTGCATAACCAGATGAACAGGAGCCAGCAGCTAACCATGAACAATCTTCCAATACCTTTCCCAGTAATGGAATTGCTGATGTTTCCCTGGAGCACATTTTGCAGATGCAAGATTGTTTCAGTGGTGTGATGGACGGTATCAGAGTAATAATAAGCAGAAGAGAATAATACTTCACAGTGCAGTGGCAGCCTCCATCTGGCTCTGAGATCCCCAAAGCCTGGTATAAGCAAGAGAAAAACAGGTGTAGCTCCAATTTAGTACATAACAGCTTGTGGACTATGAATTCTCTTCTTTGCCATTGCAAACACATAGAACGTTTTTTGGAGGGTGTCTTTAATTTTACAGCTCAAAGTCTGTGATGCCAGTGTCAGATGTAGTAGTAGAAATACCTTGGATAGATGAATATTTTTCTACAGAATACAATGAATTCAAGGGAAGGTGATGGCAAGGGCAGTGAATTCTGAGTATATGTGTGTGTTTGCCTCTACACGCTTGTGATATAATTCTTGGTCTCAGAGTCAGTTGGCTTTGTGGAAATTGAAGCAAGGACAGGAATGTGTCTGAGGGCTTCAAAATCATGAAAACCAGGTAATCAAAAAGCTATCATGGGCTGTTGGTGGCAAGGTGGATAAAAGACTTGTAATGCAGTTGATCTAAAGCACATCTTTAATTGATACAACAAATTTATTGGCTGAAGGAAAATGGCACACAAAGCACAAGATTTGTGACTATGTCAGGGGTCAAGAGGCTCAGTCTAAGACCTGGAGGCAGGAATTTCCTGGAAATAATAGCCATGGCTTCAAATCAAAGAATGGAAATCTTTACAGGTTCCTAGAACAGAAGGGACCACTGCCATGTGATAGTTTTTCTGTCCCACTTGCATACAGATGCGACAATCCAGATTTGGTGCAATGTGAAGTTATACAGTTTACAATGTCTTCTTTCTTTAAAAAAGAACATAAATATATACAACTTTTAAAATTAAAATATTTACTCAGCGAACACATTCTTAGACTCTCCCACAGCCTTGTAGAAGCCTACAAAGCAGAGGGCCTCTAAAATTTAAGCTTCATTAGCTTTGTGGTAATGCTACTTCTGGTTCTACCACCTTGAGAAGCGACGTACTGCCTTAAAGAATCTTCAGCCAGGTGAACTACCTGGGCAAAACTAAGCTTCATTTTAAAAAAGCATGACCATGGTATTACCTAAAAACTAGTTAAAATAAAAAGTCATTAGCTGCCAGTATCCTATGGTACTTGGAGGAAAAGTATGTTGCATTTTAGTATGATATTCCCAGTAGTAACTTTAAAGTAATGACCGATGTTCAGCAACATTCATGGAGCTGTTGTGTTTGCAGTAACAGGTGAAACCTATGTAGTGCTACCACATGTAGAGTGCTGTTCTAAGTTCTTTGCATGTATATGTTAATTCATTTTAAGTCTCCACAAACTATTGATTCAGCACTTCTCCTATCTCCTATTTCATAGATGAAAGAATAGGGTCACAGCAAACTTGTAAATTGCCTGTGGTTGGATGGTTATGAAGTGGCAGAATGTGGATTTGAATCCAAGTAGTCAACTTCAGGCTCTGTGCTTTTAGCTACTGCCCTCTATTCTGCCTTTCTACTTGTGTGCTAAATCGGTTTGGTGAGATGGAAGGGCAGCATTTACCTGTGTGCTCTGATAGTCTGGCCGCTTCCCTGTGTATGATGATGGTCAGGTGCCCACCAGAAGGCCAGCATTCTCTCTGTGTGCAATAATGTTCTGTTGCCAGCTCCAGCCAAATATTGGATGTTGGTGTTGATGATGAAGAAGCTTATGAACTCACTCAGGTGAAAAAGACAAACTGTCTAACCTATGTGGTCTTCTATCTTCTCATTTGTCAAACAGCGGCTTTGAAAGTACTATTTTAAAACTTCTTTCCAAGTCTTGTGTTCTGATAAAAAAAGATATGTTGTATATAGGCTTATGTTGTGAAATCCCAATTTGACATAAATGACAATATTATAAAAGTACTTTCAGCACCACTGTTTCTTAATAGGGTGCCCAATGCCACTTAAATGGATGTCTTCTTACTAATATTTATTAAGGGCATACTTTTCCTATGGAAGATTCTAAGTATGCTAAAACTACTAATACATTTCATCATATGATGATTTAATCAGGTAAATACTACTCTCAACCCTATTTGATGGATAAGGAGTCTGAGGCATAGAGACACTGAATGGTTTGGTTTCCCTGTAGTGACCACTTTCAAAGGGAGGAGCCAAGCTTCAAATCCAAGCTGTCTGGCTGCAGAAGTTGCTTTCCTAACGTCTGTTCTTTAGTGCCAGAGTGTTTATTCACATGAGTGGTGTGTCGACAGTGAAAAGGAAGTTGAAAATGGTTAGTGATTTGGAAAAGATGACCTTGCGAATGCTGTTTCAGGCTAAGGTGTTTAGCATTGCGCTGAAGAGGAAAGCCACACAGGTGTGTATTGTTGGAGGTGCTGTGGGAAAACAATGCTTGAAAGTTTAAATGAAAAACCCAGAAAAGGTGACTGCAAAGGACTAGCAAAGGAATGATAGTAAATAGTACTAATAATAACTAGTTCTGATAATAATATCTAATATAGCTATTTTGAATTTATTATTTACCAAGTATAGTTATAAATGCTTTGCATCTTTTAAGGCAACTTCTCCCTCCAAAACACACTCTGAGGGAGATTTATTATGTATCCTTATTTTGCCAGTGAGGAAATGGATGCAAAGAGAGATTAAATAATTTTCTGAAGGCAGACTACTTACATAGGAGATTTTGGTATTAAAAAATATATTTACCACATACCAGTTGCTGTGGTAGGTGCTATAGGTAAAGAAATTAAAGCAAAGACATAAAATTCTAGTCAGAAAAGACAAGGAAATGTATGTTTGGTGGGTACTTAACACAAATCTGCTTTTCTGATGAATGAACTGGATGAAGAGATGACAGCCTGGGCAAAGGAATAGAAACAAGACGGAACTTATCTATTAGGAGATCAGCCAGTGTGGGAATCAGGTGGAGTGTGCTGCCTAGAGTTAAAGCTAGAAATGCAAGTAGGGTCTAGTTTATGGAAAGGTTGGGAGCCAACTGTAATAATGCAAGTCATATTTACAGGCTTTAAGGAAGTGTTTAATAATTTAATCAGGGAATGGCAATATTCCAGGAGAAAAATATGATGTCTAAATAAAGGATGGGTCATAAGGGAGAAGAAGGGAGGGGCAGAGATCAAAAGATATTAGGAAGATAGAGTTGAATGAGATTCATGAAAAGATGAATGTGGTGATAAAATAAGGGAGGAGATAAAAGATGAATTGAGTCCCTCATTGAGTGGTGACACTGATGGCAGATGGGAGAGGGGTGGGGAAAGCAGATGCGGCACCCAGTGCAGATGGCTGAGCCTAGAGGTGTTTGGGGGATGCCTACATGGAAACGTCTGGTAGGCAGTTGGTTCTTGGGGTGTGGCAATCAGAATGATTGATTTTTAAGAGCCATTATTCTGCAGGGGATGATGAGAACTTTCATAGAATCTGTAGAGTGTGAAGAGAACAGAGGATGGAAAAAACAGGGTCCCAGGTATTAAGAGATACCTGGGAGATGAAGCTGACAGAAAGGGTGAATCATAATCTCAAGTACGGAGAGAGGAGAAAAAGTTGAAATACATTCACTGATTCAATAATTAATTTAAGGATGAAATGAATTTCTTTATATGAATGAATGAATGAATTTATATTTAAATGAATTATTAGGTAGTTATATAGACTCTACACAGGCATTTGGAAAGAAATGTGTTAAAAATTATTGTAAATGACATACTATAATTTACACCATATGATTTGGGAATGACAGTGCAATATAATAATTATTGATAATCCATAACCTACATCTTCAAGGAAATATGAAACAATTTTTGATATAATGATATTATAAAGTTATATAAATTTGATATATTTATATTGTAAAGTAATATATAGCAAATTACAAATTGGATAAAACAAGTTATTTTGGTCCTTATCAGGTTTACTACACTTAGTTTCTAGGCAAGCTTACCTTCCCAAATATTAAGTGTGTATGCGTGTGGGTTTAATAAGATCATCCTGGTGTAAAATAAATATGGAATAATGCCTTTGGTTATTCTGCTTAGAGTGTAAATAGTTAAGTATCTGGATTGCGGAGGCAGTTAAAACATGTATCACATCTTTTGGGTATTTTCTGCTTTCTGTTTACACTGAAGATTTGCCAGTTACTTGAGCAAGTACAAGGAGACACATTAGTCTGAATGTTTTGTCCTTCATAAAAGCATTTTGGTTCTGTATAAACTCTAGTGTTTAATGGAAATGGCAGATTATTCTATTCAGTATTTTTCCAGTCATTACAGTAAAGCTGACCTATTTAAAATGTTCCTGGTACCTGCCCCAATTGTCCCTTTTGCTAAATTGGATTGGGTTTGTTTGTAGAAGCAATGATGATGTTAGAATTCATCCTAATAGTCATAAACAGTTTTTATTGAGTTTGGCTAGGAAATCTTTAAGTTTAAAATACTCTTACAAATATTTCGGATTTATTTGAATGGACGTGCCCATTCTCCTTTGGATCCTTAAAATCTTTTCTTCCTCAAGTGTAATGTTTAAATGCTTTTAAAATTAGTGAGTTAGTCCAGCTCTTAAGAGAAGGTTGACTGAAAAAGATTTTATTTAAAATCCAGGTAAATAGCAGCATAGGATTATAATTCACTGTGCATTTAATGTCTGAACAGTATCATCAGGAAACAGCCTTAAAGAGCTAGCATAGGTGGGCTAGAGACATTAAATAAATGTGAATAAATGTCATTATTTTATTCATAATGACAGCTCTCAAGAGTTCAAGGCAAAAATAGTAAAATGATTTATAATGTAGCACTAACAATTGTGTTGGAATTATAACTCTTCTTGCTTTAATTTTGATTAGCTATACAAAAAGAAGGTTTTAATTATAATCATTGTGTAGATGAGAACCTTGAGACCCAGCAAATCTAATGAGTTTAAAAGGTGATTCAGTGGTAAATTCCTAAGTAATGGTAGGGTCATATCCAGGCTTCTCTGATCTCAGAATCTGCACTCTTCCTTATTGTGCTAAGACATACTTCAAATGTGTGGGACCCAAACAGGAATATGATGGATGAGTGGAATTTAGAAAAATGAGTCTTATTCACATACGACTTTCCATATTTCTAGATGTGATTTTCCACTGGCTGGCCCTTAGGAATTACTCTGTAAATATGTGCTGAATTAAATGATTGCATAATTCCTACACTCAAATATGTATTGACATGTATTAGGTTTGATTTAAGAATATTAGATGGAAAAGAAGTCACAGATACTTCAGAAATGTGATCTTAAAATATTTTCTTTCAGATGGCTTACTTAATACTAGTGTTCACAAAGATTTCTTGTTCTACACTTCTTTGGGGCACACATTCCCTTCAAATTAGGTAAAGCAATGTGATTTGCTTTGATGAGTTAAGTTTTTGAAAACTCCTAGGAAAAAGTATTTAAATGATGGTATTCACTTTCCCATGCTATCTTACACTGCCACCATGATCTTGGAAGCATGAACTCACGTGGAGGTGCCACAAGTCTGAAACAGCTTCTAAAGGACAGAGGCCAGATGTCCTGGAAATTGCTTGGATCTAAAGCAGACTTCAAATGAACAAAAAATAAGCCTTGTTTTGCTTAGCTACTGAGACTTGTTTGTTATACCACAACATAATCTAGATTCTTCTGTGTAATATTCAAATGAAAGTAGTTTTGAAAAATCCTTGCAGAGTGATTATACATGGCCTTGTATATGTTTAAACATAAATGTCACTCTTCTTATCACACAGATAAAAATTAAAAGATGCGCTGTTGGTGTCAGGCAACTCTAGTATATTTTCTTGGATTTTTTTTTGTCTTAAAGCCAGTACTTTATATATTTCTATGACACCTCACATTGTTTTTCTGATACACAGCTATGAAAATGTGTTTCTGATCAAGCAAGAGGCACCGGCTTTGAAATTTTTGCAATCAGTTTGCTTAGTAGATTAGTGCAAATACCTAATTTATTATAAGACACTCTTTTCATCCTTTGGGGAAAAGAGAGGAGTGGTCTTTTCATATACAGCCATAGTTTTATATACATTTTAAAATTAATAGATAAATAAGATTGCAAAATTAGAAGATTCCTGCTTCTGAACACAGTGAATTTCTACCATTAAATGAGTAATTTCTCACCTTCAAGAAGTTTGATAAGGTAAACAAAGAGATGATTGGCTTTACAGTGGACATCTTCCTCTCTAAATAAACCAGGATTCTGTTCACTGGATGCTGTGCCCAGTCAGGGGAGAGTAATTATGATTGGTCAAAGCCAGTCCTGGCCATCCCATTTCCTTCTTTAGGTACTTATTTTCTCAACTACCCTGTACAGGACAAGTTCTGGTAAATTAAATACATATAGGGAAAATTCTGCTTTCAGATAAAAAGGAAAGCCCCTCAGAGCTGTGGCATTTTGGTAAGAAACACCCCCAAGTCTAAAAGCCAACGTCCTGAGGATAGCAGAGCAAAGGATAGGAAAGCCTAAATTCTTGTGGAAAGCACTGAATTACTGAACCCAGTGAAGAATTACATACCTTTAGGCTTTTGATATGTGTCATGATTTAGTGATTTTATTACTTAAACCAGTTAGTTAAGCTTTCTGTTACTTGCAGCCAAATGTATCTTATCTTATAGAACTAGACTCTGAGCTTCTACCCTCAGAGGAGGGCTAATAAGACAGAACTTAGACTAACCAAGCACATTTAATGGTTTTAGAAACATTCCTTTAAGAATAGTCACAATTTTGATTAACATTTGAACATGGCTCAAGTAACATGTATAATTCCTTGCCTTACATCTGAATATAACAAAAGATAAACAAATCATTCATTTGGGAAGTTAGTCACACTTACCAACAACAATGCAAAAGAAACTTTAATAATTTGGATGTTTTGGAAGAATGTTGACTGGCAAATAGGTTTATTTCTCTTCAATTTTGAATTTAAAACATTCCCTGGAAAACTGTGGAATCCCTTATTTCTTTTACCACCATTGTTTTCAGGAATGATGTAAGAAGGAAGTAAAGTAATATTTTATTATCTCTGTATGAATCAAGGAAAAGTTATATTGAGAGCTTTAAATGTTATGAAAAGATAAACTTTGTGAAGCATTCCTCATAAAAATGGATAAAATTTGTGAGATCTAAAATGAAATGTACATAAATCTTGGGCTTTCTCTTCTTGACGTTTTTTTGAATATAAACGTGTAAGAAGTTGAAGCCTGAAATTCATGAACATTCTGTTCTCCAGAATTACACTATTCTTCCAAATTTATAAAAGTTTTATCTCTGTCTCTGAATATTTTCAGGGTTTTTTTTTTTTGCTGTAACTAATTACATTT